GTCGGACAGAATGTCCGGTGGTTTCCTCTCTACGTCGGACAATTTCACGAATGGGTCGGACAATGTCCGTGACCGACCGATATTTTAAGGCCTGTGATATTACCCACATTTGTCAACAGTTGTTTCATCTGTTTAATTGGGGAGCAAATTATGAAAAACTAGTGCAAGCAACAACATTATGGAAGCTGCACCTCAGGAATTTGGTTGGATTTTCGGAAACAAGATTCGCAAATAGCAGGAGGCAAGTGTATGTCAATATTCTTCACGAGTTCCCTGCGATTATGTCGTGCCTGGAGGAACAAATCACAAATGGAGTCATACCCACGTCTGATGCAAGATCACGAGAAAAAGCTGCCAAGGCCAAAGAGCTGAAAGGAAAAATTCTGAATGTTCACTTCTTGTTAGTGTTATCAGGTTTGGCTGACATCTATTCCCAGTTTGGTGTAGTGGTTAACATAATGCAGTTGGTACAGTTGCTGCCTCATGAAAGGTTTGATCGTTTCATGAAAGCTGTGGATCTTTTCAAAATAATGGAGCAGTCCCTATACAATCTCTAAAAACTGTTCCTAACGACATTCTCAAAGGACAGTAGAGAGAGTTCCTCAAAAGGTTAGAAAAACTCACAGCTGCATTCACATCAGTTCAACTTAAAGATCTTGATCCAAAATATCTCATAAAAAAATTCTTCGACCCAAAAGAGAATTTGTATACTAACATCGAGATGATAATGCAAGCCATCGCTGTTTGTTGTGTGAAACAATTGTGCGAGTCGGTTCTTGAGTCACTTGTTTCACAATACGAGCATCACTTCAACAGCAACCGAAACATGAACAAAGATCATATTAATGAAGAGTTCTTTATTTCAGTCAACGGCCCAAATCTTGCCCATTGCAATAGTGTAGTTGAAGAAGCAATGGACAGTTACTGGAAGCAAAAAGACTGGCACTTCTACAGAACATCACTGTTGGATCATCTCAAGGACTGGGATGGTGATTCTAAAGTTTTAAATCGACTTTTTAATGAAAAGAGCAAGTTCCCATTCATGGAATGATGGACATTAAATGGCATTAACAATGCAGACATAAATCACATACTCCATAGTCCGTTTTTACAAACGTGCTATCATAGTATCAGACTGTTTAACGAACAAGAGCAATAACGGTAAAATTCACTACCTAAACAATAAAACAGATTCGACGTTTCGACCAAAGGGCCTTCGTCGGGAAGGAAGGGCCTCTACTAATTCCCGACGAAGGCCCTTCGGTCGAAACGTGGAATCTGTTTTATCGTTTAGGTAGTGAATTTTACCGTTATTGCTCTTGTTCGTTATTCTGAAGTGCTACCTACGCTGGCTACGTGTGCTGTTGGTTATCAGACTGTTTGCCTGTTAGGACAAGGGATTTTACAGAGACATTTATCATAAAATTGTCAGTTGTGTATTTTACTACTTTTAGAATTTAGTGAAAATCAATACTATAATGGGTAACTTTCATAATCATAAGTTATAGAGCACAATAAAATTATACTATATAAAATGTTTAGAATAACATGAAACCTGTTATAGTGGTGAACAAATTTAAGAAAATGTAATTCCCACGGTTCCCTGTCTAGGCCGCCAGGCGTTTACTTGCAGAAAATATTTTCATTGACCTTGTGGTCCCAGAAAATAAAATATTTTATGCAGCCCTGGTGGTCGGGATTATTGCCAAATTACATCATTTCGTCCCATTAAACACTCTTTTAAGTATTTATAATTCTTTAATTTTACCGTATTTAAGTTATAGTTTGATTGCGTGGGGACAAGCGTGCAAGTCACATTTAAATAAAATTTTAGTTCTTCAAAAGCGAGTCTTACGATTAATTTTTTTTGCGAACAGAAATGATCATTCCATACCCTTTTTTATTTCAACAAAGATTCTGCCAATAGATTTTTTATATTATAAAATATTAGCTGTTATGATGTTTGACGTAGACAATAATTCTGTACCGCCAAATATTAAAAATCTGTTTTTATACACATCCAGTGTTCATACATATAATACACGTTCTTCTAAGTCTATAAATATTAAAAACCCTAGACTTAATATACAGAAGAATGCTTTTTCAAGAATGGGAGCTAGATTATGGAATGAGATCCCATGCTATTTGAGAAGCCTTTAAAAAAATTATTTTAAAAGAGAACTAAATAAAACTTTATTATATATTCTTCAATCAGAAGACATGTTTATTAACACTTCAATGATCATTCCAAAAATTAAACAAGTTAATGCTAAAACAAAATGTTAAAAATAGTGTATTCCTTGAACTCTATTTATTCTTACATGAAGCAAGCATGCCGACGGTCTTTTTTTTTGGTTTGTCATTCGTATTTCTCAAATTATTACTTATTCTTATTATATTACCCTTATTAATTATTTTATAACGGAATAATTTGACTCCGCCTAGACTAGCTTTGCTATTTGCGGACCAGATAGAAATATATAATGTAATTTTTTCTTCTTCTTGTTAATAAAGTTGAAATAAAGTTGAAGTTGAATTGAGTGTAAATTTATTGTGCGAATCAGCATGTAACTTGTCACTATTTAAACGAACAATCTTGCACAAACAATCTTGCAAACGAGCAATGCGAATATTGGATGCCAACAGTTACAGTAAAACAGATTCTACAATTACGAACAGAAACTAAAGATATTCTACATGTTGTAAGGTCAGAAATTGTTTATGTAGTTTTCCTTTTGCATCTACTTGTGAATTTGATATTTTTTGAGCGAAATTATCGACATATTGACTAATTTTGCGAATTTGTGTTGTTGTTTTGGCACAATCTTGAACGGTCTTGGAAATTGACGGTGACACATCGGCTTGTGTTCGTGAATGTCGCATAACTTTGAGAAATACAGAAATATGTCACAAAATATTGAGCAAAACGGCAAAATGGACGAAACCACTGGAGAGATTAACTGAAGATTTTCATGCAGCTTCAAGGAATTGGAGAAGGCAAATTAACAATCTGAACTACCAACTAGCAAATGACAGAAACATAGAATCCAGTATTGGTATAGGGCTCCCAAGCATTGATAAGGCTAATGCATGAATTAACTGAAGTGCAAGAAAGACTAGAAGAAAGAATAATTGTATTCGGAAGATTCAAGACAATGAGTCAAGAAACCAATCAGATATTTAAGGAAGTTCGTAGCTGAAAATGTGGGAAAAGCAAATCATCTTGTCATTCTACTATTAGCACCACTTCATCTACACAACAACACAGACTTAATTTGGAAGAAGAATTAGCATGCCTTAAAGCCAAAATGAGCATGGTTAAGGTTAAGGTAAAGGAGGATTTGGACATAGCGAATAGAAGAGCTCTGGAGCAAATTGAGGAGAAAAAGATTGAAATTGAGTGAGAAGAAAGTGAGAGAACAAATAGAAATGGCCACCGAGAAATAGGAGATCACGAAGCAGCTAGCTGAGAAGGCCCAGATGAACATATGTAAAAGGTTTGAAGAAGTTGCGATGCCTGACTTTGGGGAGAATGATCAGATTAGTGTATACACGGTTAATAGAACTAGATGGTTAGGCTAGCCGGCAAACTTCAAAGGGAGCGGCAAATTATGTCGAGAACCACTTTTATTTGTGTCATGTGACGAGGAAAGGGGGTGCTTTGTGATGAGTGATTAGGAAAAGATATGGGCGAGAACATAATATGCCAACAAAAGATCATATTTCAAAATGCTATAGGGCTTCTGAGATCAAGAAGGAAATTGAAACAGAAAGCGAACAAACATACGAACCTATTTTGAACGTTGGAGATGAAAATATCGAAGAAAGCGAGCGTCGTGAACAGTTTATGATTGAGGCATAAGAGGACGAAGGGTGAAGACATTTATCGCAACTAGATGATGCAACCGCAGAGGATTTATACAACTTTGATATGTCTGTTGCTCTAACGGAAATACAGTTAGACGAAACAGACGCTGAATTCACCGAAGCTATACAAGAAATTGATGGTGAGAGGGTTGTTCCTTTTAGTCGGTGAGAGATAGTGTGCAAGTCTATATAGTAAAGGGAGAGACAAAACTCGTGCTGCGTTGTTGACTATTAGAGGACGTGGTTTGATTATATTACATCGATTCAGGTCAGTTTGGCTACTGTTTCCTCTACTGATGCTTTGTTCGATGCTTTGCATGGCCACTTTACACAACATTCTGTCCAAGGAACAATCAAGATAAACTTTTAGAATGTTTTTATATGGCTTGATTCCTCGTTTGTGTGAGCAGCTATAAAATTGTGAGAACTATAAAGTAGCAAATATATTCCTGAGCATATTTGATCGGATTTTTATAAAACACTACACCAGCAAAATGTCGGCATTGTTGGAAAATGCTGTGATTTTTCGTGAAGTTCAACCCTCGAACTCTGCACAGAAACTGTACGGAAAATATAGTTAAACTTTATTTAACAGTTGGAGCATTTTCCTACACCAGAGACTTTATTACTATTAAAGATGCGGCATGTACAGTCCAATCTGTGCATGTGCACAAAGGAGCCCTCTTTTTATTTACAAACAGTTTATTTAGGTTTTTATTTCATTTTATGTTCTTGCAAAGCTTGATTGTTGTCTCTTGATAATTTCTAGAATCATGAAAATATAACTAGTTGTGGAATAAAATTCAATATTTTGGATACCGAAATGTAAACAAAGCATTTGTTTACATACGGACTGTACCGCATCTTTAAAGTATAGCATTAATTAATGAATGGCAGTCAAAGAAAAGGCATTGAGTGATTGAGAAAGGGGATGCGATAACATAAAACTTGATAAACTTCTTAATTGTTAAAGATTGTCAGAAGTTCAGAACACTGTTTCCATAATTCAATAATTTTATCATATATTGTACAATAATTATATTGTTTTTAATTAAACCTTATTGGCTGGTCGAAATAGAAGTGATTCGATTATGGTAATCTGCCACCATTCAGTACAGCCCTGCCCCACAGTAGGCAGATCACACCACACTAAGGGGACGATTACATGGCGCACTTTCAACCACAGGTTTGAACTCAACCATGTTTACATAACTGGGTTGAATATCCAGGCCTCGTAGGTCCCTAGGATCTGTAGGAGACAACCCCAGGGTAGAAAATTCTCCATGTGTAATCAGCCCCTAATTAACCCATTAAAACTTTGATGTACCCTGATTTGACTTTACTTGTTGAATACCAGATAATATAATATCATGGCCTTTAATTCACCAATCTTGGTATGAAAATCGAGTGACCACAAAAAATATTTACATGCAATATACCACTTTTGGAACAAAACAAGCATAGACCATTTTCATATGATAGTGAAAAACTTAAAGATTTTTTTTTGCATTTTAAATTGCTTTTTGAGCCTTGGACCTCCTTAGTCCTAGGTTATCTTGAATTTCTTCTACTTTCCATATTTGCATATTATCTAAATCTGCCATCAGTTTTAATTTCAATACTGGACACACCAGCCACCTCGCCAGCCACTGAACGAACGTGTGTAATTCGAAGCTTGTAGGTTGTTTATCTGGTATTTATACGTTGAGAATGAGACGCTCAGCCTTGGGAACTTCGTGTTTATTGTAGGTAAATTTTCAGTGGTACGCTACCAGTTATGAAATCTTTCGTTTGGGGTCTACAGAAGATAGATACTTAATAGACATGGGATATGTAAATATGCAAATACAATGCCCTCTTTGTTTAATACATCTGATCACACAAGCACATGCATAAAATGCAAAATTTACAATGCTTCAAAGGGCGCTCACAAAGGAAAATCTTATTTGTTTCTGAAGATCTACCGTCTTTTCTAGTCCTTTAAAACAATTCGAAGCCATTCTTCGCGAGCATTTCTCTTCTTGTTCACCATCGGCTGTAGTTTCCTACGCAGATTACATCGGCTGCGCCAACAACAGGGATTTTAAAAATTGCAAATTCACGCGTTCTGCTGGTCGGTCAGCCATACAAAGCACAATTAGAGCCAACCATACTGTTCAATATTACTTCAAATGTTTAACCGTATCCTGACATACTAAAACAACGGCAAAAATACAATTATCCAAACGCGGTGTATAAACAAAGCCTTCGTCCCCTCGATCATAAACTGTTCACGACGCTCGCTTTCTTCGATATTTTCATCTCCAACGTTCAAAATAGGTTCGTATATTTGTTCGCTTTCTGTTTCAATTTCCATCTTGATCTCAGAAGCCCTCTAGCGCTTTGAAATATAATCTTTTGTTGGCATATTATGTTCTCACTCATATGTTTTCCTAATCACTCATCACAAAGCACCCCCTTTCCTCGTCACGTGACCAAAAATAAAAATGAACAATAACATATTTGTCACGTGGTCCAGCTAGCCTAACCATCTAATTCTATTAACCGTGCACACAACGATGGGCTCCGGGGACAGCATAAACAAAGTGTAAAAAGCCTGAGACTTACACTGTAAAGTCTTATTATTAAACTATAAAGTCTTAAGAATAATGTCTAAATAAGTACATTTCATATTCCTCTTTCTTGAAGTGCTTCTCGCAAACATACAACGTCCCATTTTTTTATTTGCCTTCGCAAATTTTCATCCACTACGCGGTCCTTTGTAATTATGTTGCTCCACGCTTCACGAGTTTTCGTTGATAATGCGTCTTTTCCTGAAGGGATCCGAAAAATTCCACCTCCAGCACTATTTCGACATGTACCACAGCCGATATGGAGCAATTCGCTCCCGGCATCGCGGAAAATTCAATGAAATTTAATGTTTTTAGGCTCTGTTTGGCTTAAACTATTATACTATCGTATATGTAAACACCTCGAAGCATGCACTATAAGTTCCACGTGACCGAGAACAATAAGTTATTTTGTCACGTGATCCGGCCTTCCAAACCCTCTCATTATATTAACTATGCGCAGCCCGAACCCCAATCCGGGACGAAACGTCCGAAACTGACCACACCCAAAAACGACGCTTTCGCCATACTGCTATCTACCAAACCATAAAAGCTTTGGCTATTCTGAGGTGCTTATATGGTTCAGAGATGGTACTTTTGGGGGTGATCATTTGTAAGTGTGAAATGCCTAGCACTTATATTTCACAAGAAAATGACCATGCAATAATCATAGTTAAACGTCAATTTGTGGCTTGCAACTTCAGATAAACAGCAGTGGACTTACATTACCTTTTTCCCTAAATCTTTTTTATAGAAACATAATTGGTACTTATTTAAATATATTATCACTGGTTTGGTGTAAAATAGTTAATATTTTCTGACCTAAATAATAATTTGAAATGTGCCTACCTCCTGCAAATGGACGTATTTGGCCAAGTTCTCCACTTTACTCCGCTGTTTATCGGCGATCTCGTCGACATCCTACAAAAAATGTAAATCATCTCAGACATAATGGTATCAAGAACATTTTAAACAAGTTTCAACTTGGTTTAAAGTAGATCATACCTGTTTAACCATCGACAAGGTAAATCCACAACTTTGTCTAAATTCGGCGCCATTTTGTCATCCCATGTCGGTTGTCAACAATTCGGCCTTGTTACTCTTCCATCCAAGCCATTTCCATTCCACTAATAATAAATTTAACCCTTTATAACGGTAGGAAACTAAAAAATCTAAACAAAATATGAGAAATGCGCCATTTTATCACCCTGTAAAATTTTGCTCACGAGTCTTTCAAAACATTCCGTACAAATATCGCGTGACAAAGTAACAGGGACGTGACAGGAGGGAGTGAATTATTTCACGAAGGTAGAAGAACGCTGCGTGAAATAGACTAAAAGCTAAATACAATCATACAAACGTTTGTTTTATTTCCTGTAGCGACAAATATATACATATTATTTATTAATATGAAAAAGTCATACAAATTAAATGCTGATTGTTGGATACTGTGTGGGCTTTCCTTTCATTTTTCAAGTCTCTACTCCCCCCTGCCAAGTCCCTGTTGCTAAACCACGCGAGATTTGTACGAAATGTTTCGAAGGACTCGTAAGCAACACTTTACAGGGTGATAAAATGGCGCATTTCTTATATTTTGTTTAGATTTTTTAGTTTCCTACCGTTATAAAGGGTTAAATATATTATTAGTGGAATGGAAATGGCTTGGATGGAAGAGTAATAAGGCTGAATTGTTGACAACCGACATGGGATGACAAAATGGCGCCGAATTTGGACAAAGTTGTGGATTTACCTTGTCAATGGTTAAACAGGTATGATCTACTTGAAACCAAGTTGAAACTTGTTTAAAATGTTCTTGATACCATTATGTCTGAGATGATTTACATTTTTTGTAGGATGTCGACGAGATCGCCGATAAACAGCGGAGTAAAGTGGAGAACTTGGCCAAATACGTCCATTTGCAGGAGGTAGGCACATTTCAAATTATTATTTCGGTCAGAAAATATTAACTATTTTACACCAAACCAGTGATAATATATTTAAATGAGTACCATTTATGTTTCTATCAAAAAGATTTAGGGAAAAAGGTAATGTAAGTCCACTGCTGTTTATCTGAATTTGCAAGCCACAAATTGACATTTAACTATGATTATTGCATGGCCATTTTCGTGTGAAATATTAGTGCTTGGCATTTCACACTTACCAATGACCACCCCCAAAAGTACCATCTCTGAACCATATAAGCACTTCAGAATAGCCAAAGCTTTTATGGTTTGGTAGATAGCAGTATGGCGAAAGCGTCGTTTTTGGGTGTGGTCAGTTTCGGACGTTTCGTCCCGGATTGGGGTTCGGGCAGCGTTACCATGTTGACCGTCATGGTCAACTTGCCCTAAAACAGTTGAGATTATCTGTCCTAAATGAAATGCATACAAACTCATATACAGGTCCTAGACTATTGTAGTGTTACAGCCTATATTTGTAAGATTTTCGAGTGAATAAATTATGTTATTTTATATTGTTGCCGTTGTAGCTAGGCAGGGGAAAACGAGGTATATTCGAATATTTTAAATAATATGGAATAGTATTTTGAATTGGAAGTCAATATATTTGGCGCAGAATAGTTTACAAAGCTGAACTTATACAAGTTATAGACATGTTTCAAACGTTGGAACTAG